AACAGCTGATTTTTTTTATTTAAACATTTATTATGCTAAAAAGAATTTTGAGAGTCAGAACATTTATTGTGTTTAATTCACACTGAATCCAGTTCAGGATACAATAAACTCTTGTGCATCTGTCCAGTCTTAACTAGGTGAGCTTTAACTAACTAGGTATTAACTCGACCCATAAGCAGAGTAATAATGTGTGTTTTTTTTTAAACATATGCTGAGGTCTAGTAATCTTCTTATGGGGTTTTTTTTTTTTCACTTCATCTCTGAATAGCTTAACAAAATATGGCCCAGTAATGGATGGTTGTATCCTCATCCATCGCCCTCCTCCCACCTACTATTACTTGAAATAGGCCATCAAGTGGCTAATGAACTGATAAGCCCTCTGTGTCCTGTGGGGCTTATGAACATCATAAGCCAAATGTTTGGGCATATTTGGTGAGACAGTTTTTAAAGAGCACTTATGTGGGCAAAGGACCCTGCTGGATTTTTTTAGGTTTTTTTCTAGTTGCCACGAGATGAAAACGTCTCCTCACATGCATGTGTTCCATCACAGGACGGAGTGAATCGCCTCAGGACACAATCAAGTGATCCTCAGGTTGTCTTACAGGTTGCTGCTGCTGCAGAAGGGATGTGTGGCCCTTTGCGTTTCCCAGACCTCCAGCTAGTCGAGCTGCTGGTGTCACTATCAGCGGTGGATCTCTGTAAATCCACGGATTTGTTTGAGCAGTCTGAGAAATTAAAATAACATGCTTTTTACTGCGCTTACTTCAAATCTCTTTAGACTTCATTTTTTAAAACATCTAAATCTGTTATTATGTGGGCTACACAAAACCCTTTTAATTTAATCTTTGACAAGATTATCAAATTCATTGATGATGTCACAAACTTAAATAATTTCAGAAAAATGTCGACTAAGCCTGGATAAGCACTTTCAAGGGGATACTGCTGGATTAGCTTAAAATATTATTTATTTTTGTTGTTGTTGTTTTTTTTTATTAGTTGTTGGCACAATTTACACATCATTATATTATTGATTTTATTATTATATTTTTTAATTTCCAGTACATTGTTTAGCCATAAATACACATGCATATACTCTATTAATCAAGCATGCTACCATCAGACAAGTTGTAAGATTTAAAAACAATCTGCTAATTTGATTCTAAATGATTTTTTTAATTGAGAGCCATAAATGATTTTTTTTTTTTTTATATAATTCCAGTAACTGTCCCACATTCCCTGTCTGGTTTTAGAAAGTGGTTTACTCAGTTTCTGTGCCTTTTTTTTTCTAAATAGTTCAAAAGATTTATGATTTAAGTGGGATTTTAAGGAGACAAACCACCTGCAGACCTTCATTTTAAGATCATTTATCTCCTCCTCATAGCTGCTGATCAGACCACAGCCTCGGTGCGTAATCTCCCCCCACCTACACCACCCTCCTCAACAATTCTTCCTGCAGCCGTTGCGGCCTGAACTTTTGCGCAGGCCGATGCTTTGCAGAGGATGACTCGTGGTTGTTAGAGGCCGGACAGCAGCCAGACCAGGGGACGAGAGGCGCTGCGCAGCCCGCTGTTAGACAAAAACACCAAGAGGGATTAATGCAGCGTCTGTTGGTCCCATATGCTCCTCAGCGCTGCTCTCGGTCTTGATTAAAAACTCATTGTATGTATGAAGTATTGTGGAGGCCGGGTGCCTAATCCTCCTCATGACTTGTGCACTTTGGAGACACGAGGCTCCGGGGTTACAATAACAAGCAGGGCGCAGCTTTTGTGCCGCAGCTGATGATTGGATGTATCGGTGAGGATCGATGAGGCTCCGATGCTTGGACTGGAAATTCAAAGGATGCCCTATTTTTCTATTTAGATCATCCGGGTGTTTGGATTGGGGAAGTTGTGTTGTTATCACTAGTTTGTGTCTCTTTTTGGATTCAGTTTCAAGAATCATTTGTTCAGATAAAGACGATGAAACTCTTATTTTTTTGTGGGTACTTCTCGTCTTCCTCTTGCTGCTGCGTTTCTCTCCTAGAAATGTTCCTTCAGCTGCCATTTGAAAGTGACCCTGCAGTCTGAAACACTTTTTTTTTTCTTCTTCCTTTCTTCAGCAGTCTGCATGAAGGAGTTGTTGACACTGAGAATAGACGCGTCTCATGAATATTCAGGCAGCCGAAGCCATTGTTTCCAAGTTCAATTGTCTCATTGTTTATGGCCATAACGGTGTAATGTTGCCTCAAACTTTGGCGTTGCGTTGCACGATGTTAGAGTTGATTGTTGCAAATTATAGCGCCCAAAAAAAAAAAAAAAAAAAAAACCCGGCCTGTGTAATAAATTAAAAAGACCATCCAGCAGTCAGAGTGGAAATAAGCTGCTGTTTGTGCTTCACCCTTGAATAAGTTATACGGGCTGTTGTATAATTAAGTCTTTCTAAACTACAGTCCAGCCTCCTGAAACACACACACACACTACACACACACACACACACACACACACCTATTTTCTGACCACGCAGGAGTGGAATCAAAGTCGCTCTTCTCTTTAACGCTTCGATTATTTCAAGCAACGCTTTTAATTAGTGCGCTCCTTTAGCGGAGACTCCAATGAAAGAGAGATTATTGGCAATGTCAAGGATGCTAATTGAATGTTGGACTTCTAACAATTAGCCCACTGCAGAGCCATGTCGACTCATTACAGATCCCATACCCGCTCTGACTTTATTGTCGTCAACTTGAGAGTTGCGTTGGACTCGAGAGTTGGGAGCAACAAATAAAAAAAAAAAGAAAAAAGAAAGAAAAGCAAATCCTCTTCTTAAAGCAACCTCAACCTCTCGACTCCTCTTTTTTATTTTTATTTTTTTAAGGAGCCATAACCTCTCCTGTGCACTTCACTGGAGCAAAGATAAATCATTTTTTAGAGGGCTGCTACATGCAAACAAACCCAGTGACCTTACGCAGCAAACACTTCAGGCCACATTATAATTTTACAACAGAATTAGGAGCTTTTCTTGCGCATTGTGTTGCCTTTAAAGTAAAAATTGTAGCTTTTAGTGGCAGTTTTATTTCTTAAATCCTCATGCTCACAAAAAAATGATCACCTTTTGTGCCACAAGCAAAATAAAAAGATGCTCAACCTTGATTTGTGCACTCTTTAAATGTTTGCTGCTCCTTCCGATTTGTTCCCAGCCTGCGTAATTTAAGCAAATCAGCGCATTTTCTTGGCAAATTAATGAAATATCAGCGCGTATTTACGTTTTTTTTGTAGTTACACGAAATATGAGGCTTCATATGAGAGCGTTCATTTGGGGATCAGACATGTAAACCCATGCCGTGGGGCTTTGAAAGGGACCACTGCTGCCCTGCGCCCCAGAGAAACCCCCGCCGGTTAAATATTGGGATTAACATCTTTTGGAGTCCAGGATTAAAAAAAAAAAAAAAAAAAGCTTTCTCAAACCGCACACTTGCTTTCACCATTTGGATTGCACAACCGGAACCTAAGAAAGGAAACAACATAAAGCATTAATGCCTTTTTTTTCATTTTCTTTTTAAAAAAAAAAAAAGATTTTGTTTGTCACCAAATGAACGCTCGATGATTTTTTTTAAAAAATCACAAGGCAACGAGCATTTTCACTTAAATCCGTGTCATATATGTGATAATTTTAGATGTGTTGGAAGAACTAATTATGCATGAAAACAAGGAGTCTACTCGCTATTGACAAGTGTAATTATTACTCACTTAGACGGCAATTATTGGCCTCATTAATGCGAAACTGTGGATTTTTTTCCTCCTCTTAACCCCAACACGCCTCCACACCACCAGCCCAGTTTTAAAAAAGAAAAAAAAAGTGACCTATTTTTTTAAATTTATTTTTTGCTCCAAATTTATTTTTTTTAACACCTGATGCCAAATTAAGAAACTCCCTGCAACCCATTTCGCAAAATTACGCACAGTCGATTTTTACGCACGTTTGCCAGAGTGTGCAATTTTCCCCCCAATTTCCTTCCTCCGACACGCGCACACGCACACGCACGCACACACAGACCGTTTCTTGATGAAAGAGTAAGCTCACAGGACCTTTATTCATGTCTTTTCAGCGGTGAGGTCACACCATCTTTGGAGCCAGTAAAGGATCCACAATCACCGTGTGTTGAGATCAATGGAGGGGGAGCATATGCAGAGCTCTCAGCAGCCGAGAGTCTTTTCCAGTATGGCTAACCCTTGATTATTACTACCAGCATGTTGCTTGGAAAGTCTCGTCTCTGTTTGTGATGCGGCAATTTTAACCATTAGCATCTTTCGTTGTTCAAAAAAAGTTAGAAATCTATTAAAATCACAGCAGAGAGTCTGATGCGAGGGGGGCTCACAAATTGCATACAATACAACAGATCACAGTTTCGAAGGCTAGCACAGATAAAAAAAACACATATGTACCATTTATATAAGACGCACACTGATTGTCTCTTAGAAACTACATATTGATTCCTTATAAACACTTTTTTTTTCTTAAATAAAGTAGTGCATCCATGTCCACACGCCATCCTCATGTCTCTCTGCCAGCAGGTCGGCAAAGTTGTGTAAGAAGCTTGAAGGAGGTCTGTCCATCCCGAGCACTTCACCAGGAGAATTAACTTGAGTTTTGTTCGTGACTTTTAGTTCCGTGGCTGTGGGTGTAGCTACTTTTCTCTCAGAGTCCGCTCTGTGTTGTCCTCAACAGGTGTTTTTACGCATAGAGGCACACACTGACAGACATGGATGAAGGGCTACAACCTGCGAATAAACGGGAAAAAAAAAAATCTCTTTGCCAGTGCTATAATAAATTAAAACCTCTCCTCTAGGAGGACCAAAGACCATCATGCCAAAAAAACTGGAGGCCCCTGAGAGCCCTGCCTCGCCGCGCCAGGCTCACATTTTAACCAGTCCGATGTGTTTTGTTGAGGGATGGCAGCTCTGTGTCTCGTGTGATCGTCACTGTTTGTGCACTTTTTTTTTTTTTTTGACAGCTGATTGCTCTGTTCACAGGACCTGGAATTTCCACGAGGATGTTTGATCCTTATAATCCAAGCAATCGGCATTGAAGTTCAGCTTCCACGACGCCGCTTGGTCCTTATAATCCAAGCAGTCTGCTGTGGAGTTGAAGCCCAGGCCGGACGTCCCGTAGCCCTGGGTGGAGAGGGACGCCGGGGACTGGTTCAGATGGCTTGTGACCGCGTTTGTGCTCATCGGACTGAGAGTCGAGCCCGGGCCTGACAACTGGTGGTGCATGGGAGTGAGGTAAGAGCCGCAGTCCATACCCCCGAAGTAGGACGTCGACCCGGCGTAGCCCTGGCTGTAGCCCGAGGCCTGGGTGTAGGTCATGGGGTAGGACCTCTGCATGCAGGAGGAGGAGGTAGATAGGGGATCTGAGAGAGGAGAGATGGACGCCGGACTCCAGATGGACACTGGGGCGGTGCTGGTGGAGATGGCGGGGACTGTGGTGGTGCTGGTGGGGGGCGTGAACTGGCCGCTGGCCCCGCTCTCCGAGCTCACTTCTCTGGTTGGAGAACTTTTCTTTTTGGCAGGTCGCACCTTGTTCTGGCCCCCGTTCTGCTGCTGCTGCTGCTGCTGGCGACACTTCGCTCGCCGGTTCTTAAACCAGACCTAAAAGAGGAACGTATTGGCACACGTCATGGACGAAATCCCTCAATTTTAGTGTAACCAAAATTATCCTTTTCCCAACAACAACATAGAGCACAACCCGGTAGATGTTTTCCCACTTCCCGTTTAATGTAAATATATTTTTAAACTCCATAAAAAAAAACGTTCATTTCGTTTGTTTTCAATCCAACTGCAGGAGATTTTTAGGCTTTTTAAAAAAATCCCATTTTATGATACAGTGGACTGATCCGTCTCATTTTGATAAATCCAAATTTTCCAAACAAAATCTTCCATTAAGTTAAATTATCTCATCCCACTGATTAAAGTTTTCCAGATGCTTTATAGAAGACAAAACGCTCGTTTTTTGATATGACTGTTAGTCACGGAGTGTTTCTTGTAGGTCAGAAAAAGCAGATTTTTTCGATCTTTTTTGTTTAACATGTGTCCCTGTGAATCAGCCAGTCCTCTATATTTATTTTTCAAATTAGGAAATCTAAAACAATAATTGTAAATTCTAATAGATTAGTTAAAAGATGACCTACAGTAGAATTTTTACCTCAGTGTTTCTCAATAAATAATGCAACGGCCCTGTTCATTTTAATTCATTACTAAAATATGTAACGATCATTTTCACACACGACAGATGCTCTTTGAACTCACCTGTACTCGGGACTCAGGTAGATTGATTTTCAGCGCCACCTCTTCGCGCATGAATATGTCCGGATACCGAGTTTTGGCGAACAACGCCTCCAAAACGTCGAGCTGTGCGCGCGTAAAAGTAGTCCTTTCTCGCCTCTGCTTCCGTGGCGTGGCTGCAAGTAAAGGAGAAATTTAAATCAAGTAAAATTATTTTAATCATGTGTACATGTACAAATATAAACATTAAAAAGTCATCAAAGGCCGTTTTGTAACCAACAGCATGCATTTGTGTTGTGTGCGTAATTACGCACGAGTCCTTCGAGATTTCAAAGCCGGTGGCAATTTGTAGCACTTGACGTTTTTGAGTGTAACGTGCCAAAAAATTTGATGCAGTTTGAACAAAAATCAAAGCAAATTTCTTCTGGAGCCACGTCTAAAAATAAAGTCACACAAGAGGAGACTTCAGGATTAGTGTTCACTGCAGGCTGCTTGCGCCAAGAATGGCTTGATTTGATAGGTTGACCAAATAATGTTCTTCCACTGATTATTATTATTATTATTTTTACAGCTTCTACTCAAATTTATTCGTCAGTACACTATTTAGAAAATTTGAACCGGGTGCTGGTTTCGTACTGTAACATGATTCATGAAGATAATATCCCTCAGTCATCGCAGTGCTTTTTATATTATAAAAGAAAAAGAAAGAAAAAAGTTTAAACCCACCTGGATAGCCCACTGATGGATGTAAAAGGTCCATTCCAGAAGTAGTTAAGCTGAGTCCATTGACTGTGTAAGGTGGTTGCTTTAGATACGACATCATGCTAATGTTTGTCTGAGGGCTGAAGTTGGAGAAAATTTTGAAAACTGATGGAGCTCCCGAGGTGTACGTGGTGTCCTCTGCCCGCCGTGTGCTCCGTCTTGTGCCGGGAACCTGTTCCAAAGGAGGAGGAGGAGAAGAAGATGTTGGTGAAGACGTGCCTCCTTGTGAAGTGATATTAGCTGTGTTTACTCGGCGCTGTGGCGAAATAAGAGCTCTCCAAGGCGCATGGCGCTCCTCAGAAAAGCACCAACCACATCTCCAGCTGTCCTCATCCCTCCAACCCCCTCCTCGCCCCTCCCGCGAACACAAAACAATACACGCTCGTTATAATTGCAACAAGTCACTCGAAAATTCAATTAAAGTCACTGCTTCCTGGGAACCCAGAAGTACAACGGGCTGAAAAATACACGACATTCAAATTAAACCTGAAAAAAATTAAATAAAAACGTTCAACTAACTCCGAAAAAACTTCACTTGATTTTATCTTTTTTTCTCCTCTTTGAATTATTTGTGAGTAAAATTGAGCTGTAAAATCAAACGGATGTAAAAAGAGGAAACTGAATTGATGGCACAGAAAATCCATCCATACATCACAGTCAACATAAATAATCATCTTATTTAATTTAATGTTTGGTCCTGTTTAAGAAATCCTGAAGGAAAAATAACGAGATAAATATTAAAGGCAGTTTGATGAGGGAATTATTTCCTAAAATATAAATGAAGGAGATTATTTGCGGTGAGAATGGAACATATGCTCCTCCGTTAAAAAAAAAAAAATCTAGCAGCTCTTTAAACAGAAATACATTTGCTGCGTGATTGGTAAATGTGATTGCTGTCACTTCAACTTCAGTGACCCTCACCCGTTATCCCCACTGTGCCTCTTGATTAGTTGCATTTTTTTTTTTTTCAATATCCAACGGTTTTAACCCCCTCGTCCCAATCTGTCACACTTAAAACACACCCGTCAACCAGTTGCACACACAGCCGCTCAATAATAATTACCCAACAATTAATTATGATAAATGTTGTTTTTTTTTCTCTTCTTCTTCTTCTTCTTCTTCTTCTGGTGATGAATTAACCAGATAATCCAAGTGGCAACTAACTGGAGCTGCAGTTTGCTGTCAGTGCTTCAGGCTGCTCCAGAAATGATGCTGCACATTTAGGAAATTCTCCCCCACTTGTGTAAATTGTAATCTTATGATATATATTTTTTAAAAATCTGAACTGATGTGAATAATCATCAGCAGGTGAAAAAGAAAAAAATCTAAATATTGGCTTGATGGAGCTGCTCAGACGCACAAACACAATCTGCCCCTAAAACCTCTGAAGACGTGTAAAATGTATTACATATGACATGTTGGTTTATTGTCTGATGAATTATTTATCTGAGGAGACAGACGAGCGCTGCAAGAGAGGAAAGGCCCCGGAACGTTTATCAGGCCTGAATGTTCAGGATTTCGGTGCCAGTTTTTACAACAAACACCTCCACAGCTTCTTATTTTATTTGCTCTGTTAATTCACTCTGTGCAGCGTGAGAAAATGTGCCTTCTTCTTCTTCTTCCTTTCTTTTTTTTTTCTTTTAAAGCCTGAAACTTCCCTTGCTGCAGATGGACTGTGCGCCCTCGTTGCTTCAGTCAGAGAGAGAGAGAGAGAGTGTGAAATTGGTAAAATATGACCTCCAGGAATCATATAATTATATTTTATTAAAAAAGGCAATTACGCACAATATCAGAGGAGCTCTGGTTTAGCTTTGAGCCTGTCTTCGTGTTCATTAGGAGGAACTATCATACTGTAATTTCATCACTTTGATCTGCAATCATCGGAGGCTCTGGTGTGCATTTACATCATTCTGTAGGATTTCTGTTCATCCAAACAGGTTTGGAGTCTTCAAATAAAATACACTCAGGCTGGATTTAAAACGGTTCTGCTTCACTTGCACTTTGTTGCCAGTGAAACCTTTTACTGGCGTTTCTTTTTATGTCTTTGGGGTTATTTAATTTTTAGCAGCAGGAGCAGAGTTTAAATGTTTTCCTCTTTTTATTTTTTGTTTTATTAAAATTAAAAAAAGATGTGTTGGGAATATGGTTTTATTTAAGGTTCCTAAAGGTGGGCTTCCAAATGTAGATACTGCCTCATAATAATAATAATAATAATAATAATAATAATAATAATAATAATAATAATAATAATAATAATAATAATAGGAGCTGAACTTACCCTGGTATTGACGAGTGGAAAGTTCTTTGTCTACTTGGTTTCCTCCTGGACAAATAATCAAACTCAGAACAAATCAGCGTCGTCCTGCCGGATAAAAACGAAATATCACAGAGCCGAGCAGCAGCAGCCTTCTTCAGTGGCACAACAACAAGAACAACAAGAGCAAGAACAAGAAGGAGCAGCAGCAGCAGCAGTGCAGATAAAAGTTAAACGTCGAGCGCCTGCATCAGGGTTTGAAGCGATGCGACAGCGGCGGAGTGATGGAGCAGGCTGCATGTACGCCTTTAGGATTTGTCGGTGTGTTGTGAGTGAAGTGGTTTGAGTTAGATTTTGTACAAAGTGCCAGCCAATAGGAGCCGCAGGACCGAGCTGAGGTCTGTCTCTGTCTCTCACACTGGTGGGGAGGGCTCTCTCCTTTTTTTTTTTTTTCAGGGGAAACAAATGTCTCCAGCTACTTTTTTGACGCACAGTCCTCAGCCAATGGCAGCGAGAGGACGACTGACAACATCCCCATCCCACCGCAGAGAGGGACCACCGATAATAAAGCAACGGTGCGCCGGTGGATGGTGAGAAGTGGAGTTTAAAGCGAGGAAAAGTCACTTTATTCCTCCTTTTATTGCGGGTTTTTTTTATCCAGTATTTCATCCAGAAAAAAAACTAGGAGCTGAAATATAAAGGCTGGAAACGTATCCGCAGTTTTCTGTGTGCGGTGTGTTAGTGGCACACACTTAAAAAAATACAAAAAACACACCACTGATGTTTTATTAGAGTGTAAAAAATAAACACATCTCCAAATGTTTTACGGCTTTGGAAAAAAATACTAAAAAAAATCGAATAACATTTTAAAAAGTTCAACACAAACATTAAAAACACCCGAAAAATAATGATTTACTCCATCTCAGGAAGGAAATATGTGCTGTTAGGAAGAAAAAGAAGCAGAAATAAATCTGCGAGAGGGTGAACAAAAAAAAAAAGAAAAGAGGAAAAAAAGAAGCCGGGGGACTAAAGCTGGGCTCTCCATGTGAAGGCTGCACCGTCCTCTCACATTCCAGCGCGTCGCAAAAAAGGGGATTTAGAGCGACTTATTTCCTTAAAACTGTCCTCCCATCCACAGAGGCAGCCAGTCTGCTGCCATCAGCCTCGTTACAGGCCTGCACCCAAATCCACGCGCGGTGCAGGTGGAGCAGCCGGTGGAGCGACCGAGAGGCGCCGCACCTGCCCGGTCCGTCCAGACAGGAGGATAGAAAAAAAAAAAAAAAGAGGAGAATTAAAAAAAAATAAAAATCTCCAGCAGGTTTCATTCATTTCAGCTGAAACGAAGATGAGAAAAAAAAATGAAGGTAAGCTTCTTTTATTTTACACTGAATGCAGAGAAATGTGTGTTTTTATAGTTTTCTGTTGTCATGAAGTGTCTCCTCATAAAATGACTGTAATTGTAGTGATAATAATAATAATTAGCCCGATGATAGGAATCTAAAAAAAACCTGAATAATTTGGTGTTGTTATCCTGATGTGAGCCTTTTAGTGCAGGATTGGTGTTATTTCTTATTTAGTGGAGGACCAACAGGCTGCGAGGGACAAATAAGCCTCCTCTACGTCACTTGAATTTTGAACCTGCGTGCCCATCTCAAAATAATATGCCGAGGGTTTTTGTCACGGCTTGGTAAATGTATCATCTTAAGAGGCTTTGTGGAACACCTACACACACACACACACACACACACACACACACTCACACACACGTACAGTCACTCACACACACACACACACACACACAGCACGCTTTGCACGGACACACCCGCTCACTTGCACCAGATTTGAATATTGATTTAGATTTATAAACACAGACAGAGCGTGGCTTTTAGGAATCGTCGTTTGCCTCCTTCTCTCTGTGTGGCTCGTGTTGGAAGGCCAGAGTCAAAGGTGCGCTGACAGCTGCGCTCAGAGCGCGCAGGAAACCTGGCTGGAGCGCGCGCACACACACACACACACCGGTCCACAGCAACACTCTGTGTGTGTGTATGTGTGTGTGTGTGTGTGAACTTTGCAAACTCAGTGACATCTCTTTTGACAGATCTCCATCAGAAGCTGAGTGGATCAGAAGAAGAAGAAGAAAAAAGCTGGATTTGTTTTTCCAGAGCCGAGCTGATGGCAGCAGAGGAAAAGTTTTGCTGGAAGGAAACAATCAGGTATTAGTTTATTTTTATTCTATTTAAAATAAGAATTATTTCTTTTTTTACAGCTTGAGGAGAAGCTGGTGTGTAACAGAGGACAGACTGGTGTCACCTCATTTATTTTTCTGTGCACTTAAATACATTTCATCTCTCATGTAGGAGCAGCTTCACACGGGAGTCAGAATTAAACCTGGATTTTTACTTGTGCTACTGTTTGCTTTATGGGCACCACATAGGTTACTCTACTGCGCCAGACTCACTGCAAAAAGCGTCAGATTTTAGCGCAGGACGCACAGAGCAGGTTACCAGAGTCCTGCACAAAATAAAAATAATAGTAAAAAAAATATTTCTTTAACATGCATGTCTTCCTTCAGAGGCCGAACTTAACCTGTGCATCAGACTCTAACATAAAAACAACTAATTTGCTGCTAAATCCTACATTTAATAAATAAATCTGGCGGCTGCTGACGTGTTCTTATATTTAGCAGCTGCGTGGAAAATGGAAAGCGAGACTTTCACACCGCTGCGTGGAAAATTATGACGTGTGATGCCGCTATCTGCTGGATCTCACCGTTTAAATTGCTAAATAATTTATTAAACTGTAAAGCCAGGCCCTCCGCAGGGACTTTGTATCTTAAAAGGACGTTTAAAGGGAGAAGGAGTTAAACGCCTCTGGCGAGCAGCGCTCCCACTGACTCCCGGCTAATTGACGACGACGGCTTTTATCTCCGCCTCTGCTGCTCTCAACCTGAGGGTGAGGATTTCACCAGGCCTGCTCCAACCTGTGATTTCTGCCAGTTAATGCGTAGCCATACATGCTTTTCAAATGCACCGCGCGGGCCTGCGTGTTTGACCTCTCGTTTGATAG